TCTAGGAAACACATTTGGTAGGCATATTGCCAGCAACACACTCTTCCGACTACTTAGAATCGATAGTAGATTTATTTATATATTTTTTGTGTAAATTGTATTTTTCACAGTTTACATTTTCAATTTAATCACAATTCAATAACAGCCGAGGCATCTTCCTCCATGCATGTTAATTTCTTAATTAAATACAATAATTGAAATGAAATGAAAAAAAATGTGTGAGCTACACTTCGATCGAAGTGCTTGGAGAAGCCCAGCAGAATTTTGCATATCAATGAGAATATGGCTGCTAGTCTGGCCCCCACTCGTTGGTGGCGGCTATTGGCTGGCTATCTGACAGACTTAATGTCTGCTTCCTACCAATTTAGGAAATCATTAATTTTTTTCTCTAATAAATTATTGTTGTTGTATTGATTTTTTTTCAATAATACGAAAATGCAATTGGCTGGTGTGTTAGACATTTTGAAGAACGTTAGTCAGTCGTCACTAAGACAGACAGTCAGTCATTTAGCCTGTATCAGGTTAATAAATTCTATGTTTGTGGGAATTATCTACAAATTTGAATTACAAATTACGAGTAGATCCTCTCTCCCTCTCTCTCTCTTTCTTCTTGTGACATTTGAACAACATTTGTATTTCGTTTTTTATGTTTTTTTCAATCTGGACAACATTTCACTCATTCCATCAAATCATTTAGTATTCGAACAGCTATAAATAAATGATTTTATTTATATTTCAGAAAATAAAATCAGAGAAAAAAACACAATGTTATAATTTGTTGGCAAGGTAAACACATTTCCATTTCCAATTGCAATTAATTATTTATTATTATGAAATATTAAATAAAAATCTAGGCGATTAGAAAAACACAAACGCCAATAATTGTTAGAGGAATTACATTTGAGAACGTGTTTTGATTGGAAATTGATGTTTGTTGGTGTTGTTATTTGTTAGACTATCTAAGATCTTATCAGATTTCTTTGTTTAAATAGTTGTTTAAGGCTTTTAAACAAATAGTAGTTATTTAATAAAAATAAAGTTGCTACTTATAAATAAATTACGTTGAGAAATATCATAATTTGTAATAATTTATTAAAATGTAATACTTCCTTTTTTTATTAATTAATGGGAGTAATTTAGTAAAGTGTATTTTTTAAGATTTTAATTAGTTTTTTGTTTAGTTTTTAGTTTTCGACTTTTTATATAAAATAAAAAAATCTTTTAAAATAATTTCTCTAATACCAAGAAGAATACAGTTCAAAAGGCAATTAAAGTGTGTGGCCAAGGGTGCGTATGACTGCTGACACAACGTATACGCCCATGGTAGACTTTTTTGCACTCTGAGGGCTATAATAAAAAGTAGAGCAATATTGATAATTGTTGGTAGGAAAATTTGCTATACAAGTAATGAATTCGGTTTAAAAATTCTACCCAAAATCTTTAAATACCGAATTACAAACATCTTGGGAATTTATTTATTTTCCCAAGATTTTGTTTGTTTTTCGGTATATGAAGATTTTGGGTAAGAGTTTTGAACCGAATTCATTTACTGTGTAGCAAATTTCCCTATCAAAAATTGTAAATATTCGTCAAATATTTAGGATAGCCCTATATAAAGCAAACGAAGTGCACTATGGGCGTATACGTTGTGCCAGCAGTCATACGCAACCTTGGCCACATTATTTAAAAAAAATATGTTTAATAAGCAATATATATATTTATAACATACAAAAATGTATATTTTTATTAAAAAATTATATATATATATAAACATAATAATTTTTTTATAAATACAACAAATTTACGATGGTTTATAGTTATATAGACCATCAAATTCGCATATATATTTTAATTTAATTTAAATTTCAATATTTTTTGTATTATCAGCCTTTTGTATAAAGGAAAAAAAATCTTCAGAAATAATATCTCTAATGCCAAGTTCGAAAGGCAATTGAAGTGTGTGGCTAAGGCTGCGTATGACTGCTGACACAACGTATACGCCCATGGCACACTTTTTTGCACTCTGAGGGCTATCATAAAAAGTAGAGCAATATTGATAATTTTGGTACGAAAATTTGCTACACAATAAATAAATTCGGTACAAAACCCTTGTAAAAGGCTTCAAATACCGAATAACAAATATCTTGGGAATTTATTTTCTGATCAGAAAATTCTATGACCATTTCTGCCTGCTTGTCCTACTATTGAAATCACAACAGATAATCTAAATATTTAAGATAGAGCCTTGAAATTTTGCACATACATTTGTTACAATTCCAAAGATGTTTGTTTTTCGGTATTTGAAGATTTTGGGTAAGAGTTTTGAACCGAATTCATTCACTGTGTAGGAAATTTCCATATCAAAATTATCAATATTCATGCAATATTATGGATAGCCCTATATAAAGCAAATGAAGTGTACTATGGGCGTATACGTTCTGTCGGCAGTCATACGCACCCTTGGCCACACACTTTAATTGCCTTTTGAACTATATCCTTCAGGTTATTAGAAATACTATTTTTGGAAAATTGTTTCCTTTTTTTCATTCACTGTGTAGCAAATTTCGCTATCAAAATTATCAATATTCGTGCAATATTTTGGATAGCCCTATATAAAGTAAACGATGTGTACTATGGGCGTATACGTTGTGTCAGCAGTCATTCGTACCCTTGGCCACACACTTTAATTGCTTTTTGAACTGTATCCTTCTGGATATTAGAAATACTATTTTTGAAGATTTTTTTTCCTTTTGAAAAATTTATTATCCGGTGAATATGTCAAGGTGTTGCAAACGGAATGAATATTTTAATATACCTTTGTTAACCTTTCCTCGTACAAAGTATTAAGAAATTTCTCTAGAGACAATTTTATATGTGGTCTGTTCCAGTACTTTTTTAATAGTAAATCTAGTAAAAGGGAAACATTTCAAAATTACTCTCAGAGTACAAAATAATTTGAAAAGTTCGGAAACGCAAATCTAGTAAATATGCCAAAATTAGATGGCAATACTTCAAAATCAACATAACAACCAATCAGAAGTAGGCATTCCTGTTTACCATTTTAACTCGACCAAATTTCTCGAGTAAAAAGTTTACAAAGAGAATGCCATTTTGTTTTGTACTCTCTTAAATTTGAGTCAATGTTTTACCAGTTTTGTGGGTTGAGGAACGGTTTTCGAGTAAAAAGTTGCAAAACATGTCAAATGAGTAGATTATTTTAGGAACGGAACTATGATGTGTATTCTTTTGATCATGTTCAACCAAGAAAATAGGTTTTTTTACTGTCACCAATTTATACTTTTCTTCTAGATGTATTTTTTAATGTCTCTAATTTTAAAGCTAAAATAAAGGGCACTGTGGGCGTATACGTGGTGTCAGCAGTCATTCGCCTCCATGCCTATGATTTGTATTTGGCTTTATATTTTATTAGAAAAAAATTATATTTTTAATAAAAATATTAAAAATTATCAGTAGTGTTTTTTTTTTATAAACATTAAGTATTCTATTAAAAAATAATTTTTTTATTAAAATAAAATATTTCTTTTCATAATATATTTTTTTATAATATAAAATATTTTTTTTAAATAGAATTTTTTTTGTAAATATTTTATATATTTTGTTTATAAAAATATTTTTTTATACTTTTCTATTACTAACTTCCTCAAATGTTTAATAATAATTTATGATTTATTTGTTATTCAATACTAATTTTTTGTAAACATGATGTGAATGTCTAGATATTAAAACAACTGTCATAATCCCACAAATGTGGAAATGTTAAATCAACTTGACAGCTTATTTTAGAAAAAAAGGGAAATGTGACGAGGAAATAAAAATTAGAGTTTAAATTTTTAATATAAATATATTTTTTTAACAGTAAAAACCCTGATAAAAATAATATTTTTTCAAAAAAATATGATTTATCAAAAAATATTTATTTTATTAAAAAATTATATATTAATAATTTTTACTATATTATTTACCAAAATAATATAAATTGATATATTATTAAATTATATATTATTTTTTTTTATAATAAAAAAATATTTTTTTTTTGAAAATTGTTATTTTAATTTTTTTTTAATTAAAAATAATAAAAAAATACCACCACAGCACAACAAAAAGTAAAAGTCTTTGCAAAGAATCCGGGTCAAGCCAGAAATGTTAGATTTGTTTAAGAACTAATTTGTTTATGTGTAGTTTACAATAACAGAATTAGAACAACTGGTAATGAAAGAGATCATTTAACAGTTTGTTTTTAATAGCCAATAAATATTCACGAGGTGGAAAAGAAACTGGGCAGACCAGTAAATAACAAAATAGTTTTTTTATGTTCAGAACTTTTTTATGTATACATAGTACATAGTTCTCATGGAAAAATACTTGATTTTTAAGTAGAAAAAAATATAATTTAAATTTCAGTAGTGTTGGAGGGTTATTTGGGATGCCATTTGTATTTTATGTTTCAAAATACAAAGGAAAGATTATAGTTTTAAATTAATTGAGACAGATGGAAGAAAGAGTGTCATTTGGTTTAAAAATCTATTCCCACATTATTAAAAAATAAATTTATCGATGATTTTTTTTTTAATTATTCCCTTATTTTTAGATAAAAAACCCCATTTCTGCCTTAATATTTAATATTCTTAAGAAAATAAATAACTATATAAAATATATATTCTGTTTTTTTATATAGACCTTCCCTCAAAATATCATTCTCTGTTGTTTTTTTATTGGTTAATACACCCCCTTCCCCAAAACTGTCTGCCATTTTAAAAACGATTTTAATTAAAGGCCTTATTTTTTAATTATGAATATTGAAATATGTTTTTTTTTTGTCAATTAAAAAAACAAATTTCGATGAACTTTTTTCCATACATATATTTATATATGTATGTTTGTTTGTATATTATTAATTATAACCTTTCATTAAGCTAATTTGAAAATGTGTGTTGTGCGTTTTAATAAAAATGAGAGAAAAAAAGAAAAAATAAACTTACCTTCACAGGTTCATCGTTTTCAAATCCAGAGTTGGTAAACCCAGTCATTTTGTTTGAGTTGTTTGTTTGTGTGTGTTTGTTTATTTATTTGCGTTTTGAATACGGTGGGAGGGAAAAGGTTTTCCGTTTTTTTATTTATTTGTTATTTTGGTTTTTTTGTTAGTTTAAAATATATTTGATATATTTACAACAATGTTTTATATTAGATGAGATATTTTCTGCAAAGAGAGAGAAGAGAGAAAAATATATAATTAATATCGATTTGAAATATATAATAAATATGTTATTAAACATTTTAATAACTTTTAACAATGGTTTGGTAATTATTTTGCAAAAAAAAATAATAAAAAAATAAAATAATAATAATAAAATATTAAAAAAATATTAAAAAAAATAAAAAAAAACAATAAAAAATTAAAAAATAATACTAAAAAAAATAAAAAATTAAAAAAATAATACTAAAAAAAATAAAAAATTAAAAAAATAATAAAAAAATAAAAAAATAATAAAAAATTAAAAAAAAATAAAAAAATTTAAAAAATAATAAAAAATAAAAATTAAAAAAATAATAAAAATTAAAAAAAAATTAAAAAAATAATAAAAATAAATTAAAAAAATAATAAAAAAATTAAAAAACTAATACTAGAATTAGAAAAAATAATAACAAAAAAATTAAAAAATAATAAAGTAATAATAATAAAAAATAAACAAATTAAAAAAAAATAATACTAGAATTAAAAAAATAATACTAGAATTAAAAAAAAATAATAAAAAAATTTAAAAAAAATAATAAAAAAATTAAAAAAAAATAATAAAAAAATTAAAAAAAATAATAAAAAAATTAAAAAAAAATAATAAAAAAATTAAAAAAAATAATAAAAAATTAAAAAAAAATAATAGAAAATTAAAACAAAAATTATAAAAAATAATAAAAAATTAAAAAAATAATACTAGAATTAAAAAAATAATACTAGAATTAAAAAATAATAAAAAATAAAAAAAATAAAAAAAAATAATTAAAAAAATAATAAAAATAATAATAATAGAAATTAAAAAAATAATAAAAAATTAAAAAAAAAATAATAAAAATTAAAAAAATAATAAAAAATTAAAAAAATAAAAAAATAAAAAAATAAGAAATTAAAAAAAATAATAAAAAAAATTAAAAAATAATACTAAAATTAAAAAAATAATAATAAATTAAAAAAAATAATAAAAAATTAAAAGATAATAAAAAATAATAAAAAATAAAACAAATAATAAAAAACTTAAAAAAAATAAAAAAAATTAAAAAAAATAATAAAAAAAATAATAAAAAAAAATTAAAAAAAAAATTAAAAAAAAAATAATAAAAGAATAAAAAAAATAAAATAATAATAAAAAATAATACTAAAATGAAAAAAAATAATAAAAATATAAAAAAATAATAAAAATATAAAAAAATAATAAAAATATAAAAAAATAATAAAAATATAAAAAAATACTAAAATTAAAAAAATAATAAAAAAATTAAAAAATAATACTAAAATTAAAAAAATAATAATAAAAAAATGAAAAATTAAAAAATAAAAAAAAATAATAAAAAAATGAAAGAAATAAAAAAAAATTTAAAAAAATAATAAAAAATTAAAAAAATTAATAAATAAAAAAATAAACACCAATAAAATATAGACTCTCATATAATATTGAAAAAATATGTATTTAAGTATATGTATATCCAATTTGAATATTGACGATGATGGCTCTGTTGTTTTTGTCCAATTATTTTTATTTTTTTATGCATACATATATAATAATATATTTGTATAAATGTATGTGTGTGTATTTTTATTATTTCAATTGTTGCATTGATTGCAATTTGGAGAAGTAATTGAAAACGTCACAAAAAAGAATAAAAATAAAAATAATAAAAAACTAAAAAAATAATACTATAATTAAAAAAAGAAAATAAAATTAAAAATAATAATAATAAAAATTTAAAAAAATAATAAAAAACTAAAAAAATAATACTATAATTAAAAAAATAATAAAAAATAAAAAATTTAAAAAAATAAAAAATTACAAAAACAAAAAAAATTAAAATAATAAAAAATTACAAAAAAAATAAAACATTTAAAAAAATTAATAAAAAATAAAAAATTACGAAAAAATTAAAAAAATAATAAAAAATTGAAAAAAATAATAAAAAATTAAAAAAAATAATAATAAAAAAATATATACAAAAATTAAACAACCAATAAAATATATTGAAAAAAAATACTCAATTATCTGTATATACTATTTAAATATTGACGATGATGGCTCTGTTGTTTTCCTTAATTGTCCAATTATATTTTTATTTTGTTTTATTTATGCATACATATATATTAATAATATATGTATAAATGTATGTGTGTGTGTTTTTATTATTTCAATTGTTGCATTGAATGCAATTTGGAGAAGTAATTGAAAACGTCACATTAAACAATATTAATAATAGGAAATATATATATATATATATATATATATATAATTTTTTTTAAGGTACTACAAAAGTTTATTTTCAATGTTATTAACAAAAAAAAATCTAAAACAACAAAAAATTTTAATATTGAAATACAAAAAAATCGTCAATAAAATTATGAGTGATGGATCGGCAATCGCATAGTTAACTAAATTATAAAACTGTTTAAAGGTGCCCCCTCATACTCCCCGATATTTTTGTTGGTGTTGTTGTACATGATATGGTAAACTAAATTATAAAAGTATTCAAAGGTCCCCCCTCACTCTTCTCTATGTTTTTGTTGGTGTTGTTGTTGTAGATGATATGGTCAACAGGGCCAGCTAGCCAGCGAGTCAGTCACTCAGCCACCCAGCTAGCCAGCCAGCTTTATTGCCATTCAACCGAAAAGCCGTTGACTTGTTAATAATAACAACAATATTTTTGTTGTTTTTGTTATTTTAGTCTGTTGTTGTTGTACTATTTTAGTCATAGTAGTTTATAAAATAATAATAATAGTTCAAGTTCATGATCATATTTATTTTTTTGTTGATTATTGTGGGGATGGTGTATTTTCCGCTTCACATTCGATGACAACTCTAATTTGACAACAGCAGCAACAGCAACAAAAACAAAATACTTTTATAAAAAATAACAACACGTTTGAATTGGGGGCCCATATTTTAACAGCCGGGTGTAAGGGAGAATCATGTTAGGAACCACATTCAATAGTTGAGAGACTTAGGGAGATGGAGAGGTAGAGAGAGAGAGTTCCAAGAGGGAATACAAATAATGGAGGTTACTTTTTTATAATTTTTATATTTTTATATAATTTAATATTTCTATTTAATTAAATATTTTTTATTATTTTTTTATTATTTTCCCTATTTTTTGTTTTAAATTTTTTTATTTTTTTCCAAATTTTTTTATTTTTTTTAATAAAAAAATTAAAAAAGATATAATAAAAAATAATAAAAAATTAAAAATTATATTTTTATATAATTTAATATTTTTATTTAATTAAATATTTTTTATTATTTTTTATTATTTTCCCTATTTTTTGTTTTAATTTTTTTTATTTTTTTTTAATTTTTTTTTATTTTTTTATTTTTTAAATTTTTTTTTTATATTTAAAAATTGTGTTATTGTTGTAATTATTGTTATTGTTTCATTATACACGTGCGCTGGCATGCTCGCTTTGCAATTTATTGAAATATAATTTCATGTGTATGTTTGCATGTGTGTGTTTCACCTTTGCTAATCAATTTCAACTAACTATACCTAATTGCTGCTACCTTTCTTCCCTTACCCCCTTGCTGCCAACAATACCCCTTCCCTCTTCTATTACTACCATATATTCTTATGATAATTGAATTTAATCGTTTTATTAATAAAAAACCATTGGCTAATCTGATTGTTTGGCATTTTTGGTAACAATATTGAAATTATTACCGCCACTGCTGTCATTTATTGACTGTTTAGAAATATCAAATATCAAAAAAATCAGAAATTATTTAAATAATTATGATGAAATATTAAATTGGAAATAATCTCTTGTCGAAATATTATAACCGCAGTATCCGTTCATTTTGTATTTCTGTGGTTTTGTTTGATTCGCACTTCCATGACAAATGAAGTGATGGGATGGTATTGCGGCCAAATAAATTATTTTAATTAGCAAGTTGATAATACCGAAATTTTGAGGTACGGTTACATTGGAGCTACACCAAAAGATGATCCGATATTTATAATTTTTGGTAAAAAGATTTGATACCCAATGCGAACCCAACATACCAAATTACAGTCGTCAATTCGGTAGAAAAAATGTGGAAAATCCAGAAAATTGGTGGATCCGTTATATGGGAGCTATACCAAAATGTGGGACGATATTTATAATTTTTGGTAGGAATCCAACATATCAAATTACAAGCAATTTGGTTGACAAATGCGCTCCAGCTCCCCAATATACCGAATAATGAGATGTAGCATTGTATGGGAGCTACCCTACAAATTTGACCAATATTAATTTTTGTTGTGGAGATTTTCTACACAATGAGAACCGAAAATATTGATCTACAGTTGAAGAACGAGCTCAAGCTCTCGAAAATACAGAAATTCCGAAGGGATGGCCATATAGGGTCTACCCTTTATATTGGATCAATTTTAATAATTTTTGTTAGGAAGATTTACTGCCCATTGAGAACCCAAAATTCCCAATTACAGCCAATTCGGTTGAAGGATGAGCTCAAGCTCCCAAAAATACCAAATAATGAGGGCTGGCATTGTATTAGAGCTACCCTACAAATTGGACCAATATTAATAATTTTTGATTTTCTACACAATAAACTAACCGATATTGAAATTAGAGCAAATTTGATTGAATAATCTGCCCAAAGTACTGAAAATATCGAAATGTGGGGAGGTACCCATATACCGGGACTATCCTGAAAATTGGGTCAATGTTGATAAATTTTAGTAGGGGGCTTTTTTACGCAATTAGAATCCTATATTTGAAATTATAGTCTGTTTGATCGAAAAACGTGTCCAAACTCCTCCAAAATACCGAACTTGCTATATAGGGGCTATCCTGAAACTTGGACCAATATTGATAATT